CTCCGCCAGTGACGTCACCGCCTCCGGAGCCGCGGCTGACTCCGCCCGGGCTGTTTCGAGGCGACCCGGAACAGTGCCGAGCCTTCCTCACCCAGTGTGAGATTAACTTCGAGCTGCAGCCGTCCTGCTTCCCCACAGACCGGGCCAGGGTGGCTTACGTAATTTCATTGCTGGACGGTAAGGCGAGACTTTGGGGGGCATCCGAGTGGCAGAATGACTCTCTGATCTGCCACTCCTACTATGACTTTTCCCGAGAGCTGACCAGAGTGTTCAGTCCGGTGCTGCCCTGCCGGGAGTCTTCGAGGGGTCTGTTGTCTCTCAGGCAGGGAGAGAGGTCAGTCGCAGACTTTATAATTGATTTCCACCTACTCGCTGCAGAGAGTTTGTGGAATGAGCACGCTCTGATGGACGTTTTTACTCGCGGACTTACTGACAGAATTAAGGATGAATTAGCCACCAGAGAATTCCCCAAGTCCCTCAAAGAACTAGAGGAACTTGCCACCCGGGTGGACATCCGTCTTCAGGAGCGGCAGAGAGAGCGCCGTTCGGGCCCCTCCCCGGGGTGGAAGGCGGCTTCCTCTGCTTCCTTTTCCCCTCCTCAGAAGACAGCGGCCTCCGAACCCATGCAGCTGGGGAGGACCGGTCTGTCGCAGGAGGAGCGCCTACGCAGACGGCAGCAGGGGCTCTGCCTGTACTGCGGAGGGACGGGTCATCAAGTCAGGAATTGTCCGGTAAAGAGAACAAGCTCAGTAGGGAGAGGGGGATCCCTACTGAGCTATACCAAACTCGCAGTTCCCCCAGACCAATTACTTCCTGCCACACTAATCACCTCTACCAAGGCCCACAGGATCTCCGTGTTCATCGACTCAGGGGCCGACACGGAGTTCATGGATGAGGGCCTGGCGAGGAGACTCAATATCCGGCTCCACCCTGGTTCAGCTCCCCGCAGTGTGCTTGCTCTGGACGGCCATGAGCTCAACCACTCCCGTCTTGTCTCTGAACCAGTGGAGCTCACGATGGGAGGTAACCACAGTGAAGAAGTCAGTTTCATGATAATCGACTCTCCGCAGGTTCCGGTCATCTTGGGGGCCACCTGGCTCCGCAAACATAACCCCCAGATTGACTGGAGACGAGGCGAAGTGAAGGGATGGGCTCCTTCCTGCGCTGAACTGTGCCTGCGTTCTGCTCAACCCCGTGGGGGTCCCCAGGGTAAGGAGGACGCCTATTACCCGGACCTTTCCAAGGTCCCGGCTGACTACCACGACCTCAAGGAGGTGTTCAACAAGGCCCGGGCCACCAGTCTCCCTCCACACCGGCCTTTTGATTGTGCCATCGATCTCCTGCCAGGAACCACCCCACCCAGAGGCCGTCTCTTCTCCCTGTCTGCTCCAGAGTCCCAAGCTATGCGGGAGTACATTAATGAGTCCCTGAGGTCGGGCATTATTCGCCCCTCCTCTTCACCCGCAGGCGCGGGCTTCTTCTTCGTGGGGAAGAAGGACGGCTCACTTCGGCCCTGCATTGATTACAGGGGGCTGAATGACATATCGGTGAAGAACCGATACCCCATTCCCCTGATGAACTCAGCTTTT